CAAACAAACAAACAAGCAAGCAAGCAAACAAACAACCGAACGAACAAACACAAACAGACAAACAAACCGCCTCATAACTGCTCATTTGGATGTCTAAGAACACTAACATGTCTACGTGCAGAACCGGCCCAAATTAAATGGCCATACATCGTTGTACGGAAGGAATATAAGCTTACGTTGGCTCAAGAAGAAAAACATTATAAAACATTAAATATGTTACAATAAAGGAGAACAAAAGAAAAGTCATTGAAGCAGGACTCTAATTGTCTTCTGCTTTTAATCATGCCGATTGTCTTTATGTACGGCCTTCAATGATGGTGGCATGAAAGTCAGTCTCAAAGGATATAGGACATTCTTTTAGCTGTAAATTTTTAATTTAACACTTTAGTCATGACCTCCTTAAAAGAGCAAACAAAGTATTGGATGCAGTGCAGAAGTTCACCTCCACTGAGTAAAGTACGTATTATCACTTTACGACGTCCACGCATGGGGTAATCATTGAGTACATCTTCAAGTGTTGAATTTTACAAGCCTTCAGATGTTGGYTTATCTAACAATAAAGGTCAATTATTTCTGTGATATCTTGTACCCGATCAGCCATCTCCAGTGGAGTCATGACGTTATCTTTTCATTGTCATTCACTTTTCCGGGAAAACATTCCATTATCGTAAATGGAGTATCGGAAAATGATGTAGCTTTTACCAAAACAAGGCCAAAACAGTGAAAGCCATCTGATTCGATCTATCGGCTGCCTTATCAATTGGATTACAAGAACTGTTAGGCATTACGCTTGGAGTGGTAAAATAGATTAGAGCCTTAACAGATATTAATGGTGCTAGAAGTGGGTGAGATTATCCGCGTTGCAATCTAGATGGTTTTTAATTTTGCAGTGATTCTTAAATTGTTTCTTATCTTCTCTCCTGGTTAAATTAGATTATTAAGTTATTATAGAGCTAGCATATTGGAATATTATTATAAAGTTTAAAATCACTAGCTTTAATTTTGTTTTGGTTTGCTTCACGTTTTCAAGAACAAGCCATGGCACAGATAGCTGCGCGTGCGCCAAGCATCACGGCTCGAGCTGCATGAATTTTTCGACGTAAATGTTTTATATTATCATTTACTGATACCGGAATCTTTAGATTAATCCAGAAAAAGGGAATTCGTTAAGTAATCCTTCAATTGGTAGGACGGGAGTGCAAATATAAGGGAACTCATCTGACAAACCTAAGACGAATGTGCGATAGTAGAGCCGGAGATGTTATCTAGATTTATGACTTTTGACTTTATGTAAAAAAATCAAATGATGAGATATCAAATTATCTTTTAGAAAACGCGGTTTTCCGAAATGTTTGTGTGGAAAGTCCTTGAGATGATTATGTCTTTTCAAAGGGTTCATTTGAAAACACGATACCTGATGTTAAACAGTCTCAACAGTTGTTTTTTAATCTCTAGTTTTCTTGATTCAAAATCGTTAGGACACTAAAAACAGCTCCCGATCCCTGTCAAGATACATTTTTCAGAAGGATCAGAAATACAAATCGTTTTTGTTTGATCTGATCCGAAGAAGCCCGGGAACCTTTAATATATCTTAACTATGTTGTACAATAGCTTGCAGAGCACACACGCTCGCGGGCAATGCCGCAAAGCACAAAAAAAAGCTGGAAAACTTCCAATTCTTATGTTTAACAGTTTATGCCATTTTGAACCAGTTTACTGCTACTTTTGAAAGGCGGAGAGTAAACTTTGATTGACTAGCAAACTAGATCAGAGATTCTGGTGGGCTTGTTTGGTGTGCTAAGGGCGGGCTTTAACTGATTACTTCCTACAATTCTACAACTACAATAAACGTTTACTTGTATGCATCATAGAGTCGAGTCGGTAAAATGTGTTCTACAACGAAAGCATAGTACGTTTTTCGTCACAAACCTGACCAGAAGTCTCTTGGTGCTTCTGATGTTTCTTCTCTTTCCCGACAACCCAAGTTAGTGGCGCTTTGGATGAAAAAAGCCCAGATTACAAACGATGTCTTCTGGTCACCATCAGCTTTATCGTTAGCTTTAGATTTAAGCTATCAATAAAGGCGTCGATCCAAAAAAACTATCACAAATTCGAGTTAGCAGTGACCAGTAGTAGCTTGTTTCCGGTATAAAGCTAGGAGAAAGATTTTGATCTTTTTACTGAAGGCGGTTCAATGTCTAATCTGATCAGACAAATACTTGGGTCAAATTCATTCATATCAATATTACACGGGGGTCAATTCGATCTTTCGTGATGTCAAGAAAACAGCCTAACAGTAGCAGGTGAGGAAACAGCCGCGTACACATAAGTAACTGTACGAGTCATAGCCTCTCGCACTGTTTATAGTATCTCGTAATTCCACACACAACAGCAGTTCTCAACAGCAGGTTTCCTGAATTCTGCCTTCCATTAAGCACTGCACTAATCCAATGTCACACGTGCGCCATTAAGAGATATCAAACGACATCCAACCACAGGTCCGCCAGACTGGAGAAAGAGATCATCCAGGCCCCACTCAGAGACTGRGAAGTTTTAAGGGAATTTGTTTTCAAAAATGAGTAATAATGGCAAAAAGCGCCAAAAAACTAGACTTCGTATGAGTTTTGGTCCCAATTAATTTTCGTTTCGGGTCACACTCAAAACCTTTTTCAAACAGTTAGAAACTGATGTACCATGATAAAATGCCTGTTTGATGCGGTATTTTCAATCGTACAAAGATGTTTTGTTGCATTTGTGTTAGAACGTTGCTTTGTCAGGCTTTTTTTTATAGAAAACATATGGGAAATAAGCAAATGAAGGCCGGGGGGGGTACTCCCCTATATTTGCTATACGGGTATGTGCCGCCCTATAGGGTATGGTTTTTCTGCTTTTGGGTCTGGGGTAGGGTATCATTTTTTGACATTTTGTCTGGGATAGGGTGTCATTTTATTCTGGGATAGGGTTAACGATTTGGTCGTTTTTGTCTGGCGAATAGGCTACGCTTTCTGCCGACACAAAAACAATAAAAACGTTAGTAAATATTGATTGCAATCGCTTGTAAGACCGTATTTTCCGGCTTTTAGTCTGGGATAGGGTGTATAATTCTTAGTTTTAGTTTGGGGTAGGGTATGTAAAATCAAAATTTTAGGTCTGGAATAGGGTCAGGGTTTTGAGGTCCTGGCGGCACACCCCTACCCAAGTTGGGGTGGTAGTACCCCCCCGGGGTTTGTGAATACTCCAGTTTCGAGGTCTCTTTGTTCAGCCTTCATTAATATACTCTCACTGAGAGCTCCCACAAACAATGCCTGGAGTGATACTAAGTTATAGGGAGATGACCTCCGGGGTGTTGACGACCTCGCAGCTGAAAGCTCGTTTTGTTCTCGAGCTGGCCTTATACTCGAATTGCGAACTATTTGATATTCAATATGCCCCCCCTTCTTTTCAATATGCTCTGCGGTCCCTGCGAACTGGTTCAAAGAGGGTATTTATGCTCGTCCTAGGCACATGGGAGTGTGAGATGTAATCCCCTGGGACGCATTCCTCTCGAGAAACAAATTAAACGTGTGATGTTTGAGGCATCGTGCGTGGAGCTTCCAGTGAGAATAATCTCGGTTGTGGGTTTCAATATCAGCTATTTCGGCAACCAAAACCTCTGGCATTTTAATCAACTCGTATTGTTCTGTAGTACATACGTTCCTTACCATACAATGAACCTTAATATTGAAGAAAAGAACGCAATTGTACACAATCGAGGCTAAGACTGAGCAAAGGGAATATTGGAATATTGAAATGGGAGTATTGGAGGATTCATGGGAATTATTTACTGTGGTCCTCCCCCTCCCCCACAATAAACTTGTAATCTCTCCCCCTCCTTGACTCTCGTTTCTTTAGACATTGTCTGTGGTACGAAAC